GACATGAAAGTAGGGACGTAGAATGTGCTGTGTTTTCTGATTGTGGTCCTGAGTGAAGTAGACCTACTAACCTATAGTTTGATATCTTATATGCTTTTAGTTAGAAAGAAATTGGCTGTTTCTGATAACAACAGTTACTCTTCTGCACCTGTTAGGCTAATCATAAAAATGTTTTAATGAAGACAGGTAGATCACAAGGAGAAGTGCTGTCTCATTCTACAGTCCTGGAAAAATTTCATTCATTGCACACTACAAGGTGTTGCCCTCTGCATTAGCCTAATTTGAGAATTCTTTCATATGGAATCATTTATCTCATATCAAATGAGAGTCAATTTTTTTCAAACCATATTTTTTCATCCATTTCAGGAGTATATGAAACCTATTATATATGGCCCTGATGAAGAAGCCAAGCGAGCCTGTCGCGACGTACTGTATACTTGTTTAGATATGGGATTGAGGCTATTACATCCCATGATGCCATTTGTTACCGAGGAGTTATTCCAGAGGTTACCAAGACGACATGCTAATGAACCTCCCAGTATATGTGTTACGCCCTATCCTCTACCTAAAGATGTAAGTGGTTTATCTTAACATAAGTTGTGATCCTTGTAAAATCATTACCAAGAGATTTGACCCAGTGCCAGCTGGTAGAAAGGATCCTCGTGAACCTAAGTTGTTATCCTTGTAAAATCATTGCCAAGAGATTTGACCCAGTACCAGCTGGTAGAAAGGATCCTAGTGAACCTAAGTTATTATCCTTAGAAAATCATTACCAAGAGGTTTGACCCAGTGCCAGCTGGTAGAAAGGATCCTCGTGAACCTAAGTTGTTATCCTTGTAAAATCATTACCAAGAGGTTTGACCAAGAACCAGCTGGTAGAAAGGATCCTTGTGAACATAAGTTGTTATCCTTAGAAAATCGTTGCAAAAAGTTTTGGTTAAGGATCAGTTGGTAGATAAAACTAAATTCTGGTGTTATTTTTGATATTTTATAGATACAACTACGAGAGAAAGACGTAGAAGCGAATGTAGAATTTGTTCAATCTGTAGTTAAAAGTTTACGTTCCATGAGAGCTGATTATAACCTCAATAAACAGAAAGCTGATGGTAGGTGGCGCTGTAATATCAAGTCTCGCTTGTAACTATGGTGAATCATTGTTCTGCCCATTTCACTAATTAAATTTAAATATTTGCAGAGTTATTGCCCTTGATTTAGTCTAATATCTGTTGATATCTATCATGATGATTGTTTTTATCCTTATAAACAACTGTCTTCATTAGCTCAAACTGTGACAGTTGATGTAAACCTCCATTTCATTTTGTTCAATTTTTTATTATCTAATTCCGATCTATATTTTTTCAGTGTATTCATTTATTTAAAGACTCTACAGACTTGCAGAGTTCTTGCCCTTGATTTCATCTAATTCCTATCTATTTTTTTTCAGTGTATCTCAAAGTATCTGATGAAGCTACTGCTAAAATTTTAATCAGTTTTGCCGATGTGATAGAAGCGTCTACTAGCGCTAACTGTGTTCATATTCTAATCAATGAGGCGCCACCTAGTGGCTGTGCAATGTCGACCGTCTCCACCAAATGTGAAACAAATCTGATGCTCAAGGTACGAGTCATTTTTGAATTTATCATAAGTTTTCCTCCTTTTTCATTCCGTCACTATCTTAAAAGCTGCTAATGATATCGTAGCGCCTCTGCAATAGTGACGTCATGAAACACTTAGTTTTAGTAGAATTGTGAGAACCACAGACGTCTGATTGAAAAATAGAATGGTGTAAATTGATGCTATCAGTGTCTCTGATACACATAAAAAATTGAGAAAATCTCTTACAATTTTTTATATGGTAGATATTGTGCTCATGAAATCTTTTTTTCATTTTTCAGGGCTTGATAGACGTCAAAAAAGAAATCTCTAAATTAGAAGGTAAAAAAGATACACTAGGTAAACAATTGATCAAATTAAAAGACTCGACAAAGAAATCAGATTATTCGTCGAAAGTTCCAGAAGACGTACGCAAACAGAATACAGATAAGGTGAGGAGTTGTTATCTGGAGTTATTTCCCTTGGATTACTCTCTACCCATTCATTCACTCATTTATTCATTCATTCACTCATTTATTTCATCATTAATTCATTCACTCATTTATTTGTTCATTTATCCATTTATTTATTCTGTCTATCTATTGTAGATGAATGAATTAGAAACAGAAATAGAAAGACTGGTCTCGGCGTTATCAACACTCTCAACCCTAGAATCCTGAATTTAGCATCAACTTTTTAAATTATTCTTCAATTCTTCATTGATATGATATATAGCTTCTTAAATCTATTAACTTAACTATTCTTCGATTGTTCATAAATCATTGAAAAATCTTAAAAATTACCTAAAATCTTGTTGAAATGATTATTAATTTTACCCTGCTTCATATTTTTAATTTTGACAAAATGTTTTCCTAAAAGTTTGATTCATGTGTGAAACACTCTAATAAATTATATCTTACAACTACAACTAATATTTAGTGCTATGACTGAATTATTTCAATTATTTGTGATTGTAAAATTATATAAAATAATTAGCAAAAAGAAAAGTTGAATGATACCAATGAAACAAATTATTTGTGAGCTTTTTGTAATTCACTTCAAGTTTTTTCTGTAAAAGTTGCTTTTCATAAACCAATCACATTCATTGAAGATTGATTTTCTGTGGGTAATACTTTCTTTCCCCCACCCCCATCTTTCTCTCTAACACCCCTTGTCTTCATGTTAACTTTTGTCGCCTTGGAAAGCCACCAAACCTGGCTTTTTAGAAAAAGAATAGTCCATTCAGATATTTTAGAGCTATTGTCAGACATGACTGGC